GATCTAATTCCTTGTAAAGCACTCATGTAAACTCTTATATATACCTCCTTATGGAGAAGAATAAAAATAAGAACCTAACATATTCAAAACCCATATTCATATTTTAGCAACACCAACAATAAGTTGATGAACTTATTGGAAATTTGTTTGGAAACAAGGGCAGTTCCATGAAGTATTTGTCATTAATTTCTGTTTAGACCTATATTTTTTGGTCCATGGACCTTCAAAGAGGGCAGCAATTGGAGAAAGAAGAATTAATGTGTTGGGCCTAAAAAAAGATTTTCAACCCACGCAAATGGCCTAGGTAAATCAAAGAGAACGAACTCTTCGAATCAAGAGAAGGTTTTCCTCACTGAGGGAGCAAATGGAAGGAAGCTTGCTTACTTAGTGCTTGTGTTTTGAAAGGAACAAGCCCGATCCAAAAGGAGATAAGTTTGCTTTTGTAGACTGAGGAGTTGTTTGCCTCACCGAGAGAACAAACAACAAGGGCCAAATTTTTTGTGATCGTAGAAGTACTTGCCTCACCGAGAGAGCAAGATCTAGAGGCCGAACCGATCAAGGTCAGAGCTCCACCGCCCAAGTTGTCAGAAAGCAACCGAATGCCACATTTTCCACCACCCATTTTGACCAATCGTGAGAGAAAGAGTAAAAGAAAGCTATGGAGTTTGATTGGATGGGTGTCAGAGCACGGCCATGATTATTGTCTCGGCCGGAGAAATATAAAGTCTATAAATAAGAGCCTTATTCAACAGTGCAAAAGGTCCAGCACCAATCAAACAAATCAAGCTCAATCGTGCTCAAATGCACTCTCTAAACCTTTTATAATGTAATTCATAGTTTATAATGCTTATCCTTAGAATTTAGTGTAACTCTCGTTAAAACGAACTTAGAAACCATTATGAGTTCTTGGGCATTTCCCATTTCGATCGTCCATTTCATATACCAACAAGATTTTCTTTGTTTGTTGTTTACAAAGTCAAGTCTTGAGCACAACCCAACCCAATCCATCCAGATTTCTTGGGATACCTGCATTTCTTAAGATATATGAAACCACTGAGCTACCGAGCCTAGCTAGTGCCACCACCAAGCTATAAGCTTGCTGACACTATCCAACCATACGCTCGTTCTAAAAGCCTTGTGGTCGAGGCATAGAACTTGATGACTGAGAATCTGTTCCTATCTTAATCACAATCGCTCGAGAAGAAGTCAAGATCGTAGCGCAGAGCACTATTTCTTAGCTCATTTGTACCCACGACCACTCGTGACCGTGGTACTAGCACGCCACACATACACACTAAGAAGGACGTCTTTATTTCTTAATCTGCTCGGCCCGTCAATTATTTTATTCGAATAAATCTACCCTGCTGGCCGAAAAGATTCATACTGTCAACATTTTCATTGTTTCAAAATCTAAAACATTACTTTGATTCTGAGCATATTGAAATTCAAGCTACGAAGCTTGATACTTTTACATGCACAAGATCAATGCCTAAGCTTGATACTTTTGATATGACTCCCAGCAATTAAGTTGGGTTGACTTAATCATGTTTAGTCTAAAGTTTTCATTCTGAAATTAATTTTTGGTTAACTAGTTTTGGAACAAAATGTGCATGAAACTTAAAAGGACCCTTTCGATGCATGCCTGCATGCAAATCGCATTGGACCAACCCCATGCTAATGCCATGAGGAGATGCATTTTAACAAGATCATTCCCCTTCGCACATTGAAGCATGCATAAAACTAACTAGTGGCACAATGTGGGAAGACTATGATCCCAACGAAATATTCGATTTTGATCCCTTCTACCATCCCGACTCCAATCCGCCTCCGGAGGTAAGCATTTTTGCACTCCATAAGCCTTTTATCTTATAATAAATAATTCATTTGGGAATAATAATTAAATTATAATCTTCTTTTTCTGAGTTTGTATGCCTGCACAATTTGATATATATAACAAAATAATTGGTATTGACAGACCTCGCTGATCACATTCGTATGGAGTGGAGGAGAATCCATTCTGCTGATTTCCCTTGCTACAAAAATTATCGGCGTAAAACAACTTATTTTGGAAGTGCTTCGCATCCCATTCCCAGTAGACAGGCAAGAGCTCTCATGGGGAGGGCAATTCCTAAGGGATGAACTGACTCTACAAGACTATAACATTCCTTCTGAGACTTCAATTATTCTCCTCGAAAAAATTAAAGTCACGATCTACATGGAGGCTGGTGACATTCAATATGAGTATGTAATCCACGATGGTACTACCATAGATCAGTTGAAGGCGAAACTTCAGGCAGAACACGACGTTGTCATCGAAAATAAGGTACTCCGAATGGGGAATGCTTATCTTCCTGATGATGCTCAATTGTTTGCTGTTGGAGTTGTGGAAGGAACTACGTTATACCTCGTTGAGCGTTTCAATGCGTAGGTGAGATGATATATATGCAGACTTCACCATTTCAATGGAACTTGGTTAACTTTGATTTGCTGCAAAATCTTATGAGTTCACTAGTACTACATTATATAATTAGCTTATAAAGCATGAGCTATATTACAGTAGTTTAGACGAAAAATAAATTCGCGATAGAGTATAATTAACTTAGCTTAATAGTATGGTGTTTGGAAATTTAAAATAAATGTGTATCTGTTGGATGATGAATATATGCAATAAAGATCTGTTTGGGTGCAAAATCTCAATTCTTAAATCAGCACATCACGGCACGGTGAAAACAGAGAACAATTACTTTCTCATTAATAAATTAATAAGTCTAAAAGAATTTATGGTGTCATGGGAGTTCGAACTTGAGACCTCTTGTATGCACCCCTATGTTGAATTCCTTCAACATTTTTTTTCTTTTGGAATTTAACAAGTGTCAAAATTCCATTTGTTGTGAGGATGTGCTCTTGCTCAATTTTGAATAGCCAAACTTTGCTCTAAGTGCAAGACAATTTCCTTCTTAGATTATTAATGATTCATGTTAAACTATTGGTTTATTTTAAGGGTATCACTCCCTTATCTCAATTTTCGTCCATCTCGTTCGATTAATCTATTTGTTTCGTCTTTCTCATATCTCCATTCTTGCGTTTCTTGTGTCTCAAGTGTCCCATGAGTTAAATGTTTTGAAAGGGGCCAATAGAAAAAGAGAATAAAAATTAGGAACACCAAATCAGATCATCACTATTCTGACGTACGTTCTCTCCTAAACCAGCCATGATGAAATATCAGCCAATATTTTCTCTTTTATTTTAGGGTTGAAGGGGCACTATGTACATGATAAACATATATTGGGAGCAAGTTGTAAAGTCGAATGTCTTAGAGTCGAACTTTTATATACAAGTAGATGACATTTAAGTTTACTTTATACGTATAGTTTGTTAATATGATTATTATACATATTATTCGAGATTTGTTCTGAAATCTTTTAATTGATGAACGAGTGAGTTCGGTGAGTTTCTCTTTCTTACAAAAAAAATTGAAAATAAAATGAGTCAGTTTGTAGTTTGCAGTGCGTGAGAGAAATTAAAGTTGGGTAACTTCATCATGTTCAGTCTAAAGCTTTCATTCTGAAATTATTTTTTCGTTAACTAGTTTTGGAACAAAATATGCATGACTTAAAAAGGACCATTCGATGCATGCAAATCGCATTCGAACAACCAACCCCATGCTAATGCCATGAGGAGATACATTTTAACAAGCTGATCCCTCTCGCATTGAAGCATGCAACTAATCAGCGGCACAAAACAATGGATCCCGACTCTAATTTGCCTCCGGCGGTAAGCATTTTTCCACGTAAATGATTCATTTGGGATTGCAAATTAAATTCTAATATTCTTTTTCTAAGTTTATATGAATAATGCATGCACAGTTTCATATATAACAATATGAATGTTATTTGACAGAACATGCGAATCATAGTCTTATGGAGAGGAACAATATCCACTCTGGAGATACCCGTCGCTACACGAATTATCGAAGTGAAACTACTGATTTGGGAAGCGCTTCACGTCCCAGTCCCGGCAGACAGGCAAGAGCTCTCATGGGAAGGGCAGTTCCTCAAGGATGAACTGACTCTGCAAAACTATCACATTCCCCCTAATGCTTCCCTTACTGTCTTTAACAAAATTGAAGTCAAGATCTACTTGGAGTATAGTCGCTTTCATTTTGTGTATGTAGTCTATGATGGTACTACCGTGGGGGAGTTGAAGGCGAAGCTTCATGCAGACCAAGGCATTGACATTGAACACAAGGTACTCCGAATGAACGGTTTTGATCTTGATGATCGTGCTCTTCTCTGGGCTGCCAGAGTTATTGAAGGAACTAAGTTACATCTCGTTGAGTATCGAAGCCGTAGGTGAGATAAAATGGAAAAATAATTCAGCATTTCAAGAGGACTTGCTCTTTTTCTAAGTTTATATGCATAAATGCATGCACAGTTTCTTATATAACAAAATGAATGTTATTTGGCAGAACATGCGGATCATAGTCTCATGGAGAGGAGCAATATCTACTCTGGAGATACCCGTCGCTACACGAATTATCGAAGTGAAACTACTGATTTGGGAAGCGCTTCACGTCCCAGTCCCAGCAGACAGGCAAGAGCTCTCATGGGAAGGGCAGTTCCTCAAGGATGAACTGACTCTGCAAAACTATCACATTCCCCCTAATGCTTCCCTTACTGTCTTTAACAAAATTGAAGTCAAGATCTACTTGGAGTATAGTCGCTTTCATTTTGTGTATGTAGTCTATGATGGTACTACCGTGGGGGAGTTGAAGGCGAAGCTTCATGCAGACCAAGGCATTGACATTGAACACAAGGTACTCCGAATGAACGGTTTTGATCTTGATGATCGTGCTCTTCTCTGGGCTGCCAGAGTTATTGAAGGAACTAAGTTACATCTCGTTGAGTATCGAAGCCGTAGGTGAGATAAAATGGAAAAATAATTCAGCATTTCAAGAGGACTTGGTTAACTTTGGCTTGCAGCAAAATCTTATTAATTCACTATTACTACCTTTTGTTTATTTTAATTTCTCATATCCTAGTCATAAACTGGGTTAAATAAATTAATGTGCCCAAAATAATTCAAAATACAAAAAAATAAAATAAAATGCAGAGAGTGAGAAAATGACAGACAAAGTAAGGCGAAAGCATTTGGGTGAAACACACACTCGAAATTCTGCGCTTCAATCCTGGTTTTCAGACCCTATTAGGGCTTGGAATTCAAGCCCGATCTTTTTGTGCAGATAAAAATGAAAAAAATACGAGGTAAAAAGAAACAATGAAACAAGATATAATTAATAGAATATGGATATGAATAGGAATTGCCTAATATTTTTCAAATAATTCGTAGTGTTCATGCAACTTTCCTTCCACGAGAGGCCCTTGAGAAAAGTTAAAACTCCAATTTTCTGAAATTTGTAACTAGTGTAACATAAACTTTAGAGTAAAATGTTGTTTTCTCCCCTGAATTATACCACAATTATCACTAAAAGTGAATTATACTTCTAGGCCCGGCCCAATGAGCAGGCTGGGGCCTTGACCTTTGAAACCCCAATTCTGCCCAACTCGAAAATTTTAAAAAAAAAGTCCAAAAAGCTCAACCTGAACCTAAAAATTACAAGTTGTCTGAGAAATTCTGAAATTGCATTCATAATTGGGTTTAGGGCCAATACAAACTAGATTGGGTTATTGATTAGACATCCATTATTAAAGGAAAGGTTTTTTACTGATGCCTATTTATGTTTTGGATGAACGCTTTTTCATACGTTCAAAATCTACTTACTTTTCATAATTTTCTTAATGAAATAGCTTTTTCTGATAATAAGAATCCAACTTTGACCACTGACCAGTCAAAATTTTTAACATCGCTTTTGTAATTTTAGTCATGATTGTACATACATTTCTTGAAATGGAGGAACCAAGAGAAATCGAAAGGCAGTTTCGTCAAGAGATATTACTGAGGAAACTGAAAAGCTTTCACTCTCATCTCATCTATGGAATTGAGGAATTACCCGTAGCCACTCTTATTACTTTTTCGTTTCTAGTTTTGGAACAAAATATGCATGAGACTTAAAAAGGACCCTTTCGATGCATGCAAATAACATTCGACCAACCCCATGATAATTCCATTGCCATGAGGAGATACATTTTTAACAAGCTCTCATTCCCCTTTCGCATTGAAGCACACGTACAAGTTACAACCACAATGAATTATTTGCCTCCGGCGGTAAGCATCTTGTACTAATTTGTGACTGCTAATTAAATTCTAATCTTCTTTTTTCTAAGTTTATGACAAATTGATTGGTATTTTACAGACCTCGCTGATCACATTCCTATGGAGTGGAGGCGAATCCATTCTGCTGGTTCCTATGGCTACAAGAATTATCGATGTAAAACTACTGATTTCAGAAGTGCTTCGCATCCCCGTCCCAATAGATAGGCAAGAGCTCTCATGGGAAGGGCAGTGCCTGAAAGATGAACTGACTCTGCAAGACTATCACATTCCCCCTACTGCTTTCCTTGTTATCTATAAGAAAATTGAAGTTGAGATCTACTTGGAGTTCGATGGCATTCGTTATGTGTACGTAGTCTTCGATGGTATTACCGTGGGTGAGTTGAAGGCGAAACTTCAGACAGAACAAGGCGTTGACATTGAACATAAGGTACTCTGGATGGTGGATAATAGTTATCTTGATGATCATGCTCAACTCTTGGTTGCCGGAGTTGTTGAAGGAGCTAAGTTATTTCTCATTGAGGATAAAAAACGTATGTGAGATGGTATTGAAAAATAACTCAGCGTTTCTATGGGACTTGGTTATTAACTTTGGCTTGCTGCAAAATCTTTTTAATTCACTATTACCATGGGCTATTTTTACTTGGATAATTTTATTCTTAATTTTAATACATTCCCTTTTGTTTATTCTAATTTCTCATATCCTAGTAAAAAAAAACTGGGCTTTTCACAAGTAGGCTCATTCTAACATGACATATTATACAAAAATCCTTACAGAGTCTTATTTGGAAAAAAAACTCCAAAACTAGTCACTTGTTATTTTTAGTTGATTCTTAGTGTGTTAAATTTTTTTAAGAAACAATTAGAAAATGACAAGTGGCTAGTTTTGGGTTTTTCTGTCTAAATAGACTATATATAGGTTTTTGTATAATATATTATACTAAAATGAGCTTATTTGTAAAAACATAAATTCAAAAATACCACCAACAAAAAGAAAAAATGAGAGCGAGAAAATGACAAAGAAAGTAAGGCGCGAAAGCATTGGGTGAAAATGTAACACATTACACACGCACGAAATTCAGCTTGGATTTCACCAAAAAACAAAATTTCAGCTTGGACTTACTTCGGGTCGGGTCGGGGCTGTTGAATATATAAACACGGGTTAATGAGTTTGAATCTTAAAGGAAAGGCCCGATTATTTACTTTGGGTCGGTTCTGGGCTTCAGGCCTGGTTTTCAGACTCTATGAGGGCTTGGAATTCAAGTCCAATCTTTTTGTGTAACTATTAATAATAAAAAATTATAAAATGAAAAAAATGAATCAAGATATACTTTAACAGAATATGGATTTGAATAAGAATTAGAAAATATTCTTCAAATGATTCATAATGTTCATGCAACTTCCTGAAATTCATAGAGGCCCTTGAGAAAAAAGTTTGATTAGAATT